ATATTAATTAGGAAGCCACGGAGTGAAAGTCAATCAGGCGTGCCGAGCAGATGACAAATACGGCGCTACTTTCGTTCTCCCACGGTGGCGCAGGGATACGAGCGTTTCCGGGCCGTGGCAGTCGGCCATTAGCGGCAGGAGGCTGGCGAGGGGGACAAAGAAAGAAGGCGGTGTGCCACCCAGCAGGGATGGAGGACGGCTGGTAGCCCAACTGTAGGGGGCCACCTTGAGTCACTGTTGACAATTGTGGGGAAATGAAAGTGAATCAGTTGAAATTTATTGTACTTTATTTGGGATTGGTTCCGAACATGTTCATCTAATCAGCCAATATTATCAATCAGTTTGGGATAAATTCCAGACTCACCTGCAATAGGTCAAAGGTGATGGCCTTTAGGTGTTACCATTGCAAACTCATCTGCCCAAAGCTTTCGGAATCGGTTGTGGCGGCCGATGTAACATCAATTATATTCACAACGGGAGAGTTTCTTTTACCAGATTTCAAAACAGCTTTGATGATGTCGCTTCTTTTCCATCCTGCGGTTGGTCAGAACAAAACTTGCTTCACGTGTTTGTCGAGATCTGCACACATGAACACATTTCATCATCAAAATCTCTGAGGACCACAGTGGTGCCTTAAGATAGGAGCCGTTGATATTTTTTTTCTTTACTGTGACTTGCGAGTAAAAATGTGTATACATGAGGCCTCAAGCAGTCAGGCTAAACAAAGAGAATTAAATCTTGTGTTTAAAAATAAAAAAAAAAAAATCATGCAACTATGTCTTTAGGTCCGTTACCTTTACGCTAACAAATAACGGTAAACGCCATAGGCGGGCTAACGAATAACATCTGTGCGGTGGCGTGCCGACACTGTATAAAGAATGGATTTTAAACACAAACGGTGCAGCTCACAACACATGTAGACAGACAATATTCACAGGCATATATTCTTTATCCTCTGCCGAAAAAAGGGCCAAAAATAGTTTGGCTTTTACGATCCATTTATGCCATTACTGTATGCTTTTACCAAGTACATTAAAAAAAATCAACAACAATTTTTAATACCATTACCAACACGAGAGGTTGCAGTTCGTCCATAACAGTGAGTTCATATGTGCGAGGATCAATCTGCAGGTTTGCGAATGAGAGTTGCTGACTGTAATTAGTTTGCCAGTTCAGGCGCGTTTGGCCGCTTCCCCCGGTGTGCGGCGGGCCATTCCCCCTTCCTGGCTCACTTTCCACCTGAGCGCCAGAATTCCACGAAAACAAAAGTAACCAAGGAGTAGTTTGGCAGCGCAGCAGCAGGAAACGCGTTTTGTATTTTTTGTTTCTTTCACTTGAATGACGACAAAAGCAACACACACGTACACAAAATGCCCGGAACGCCATTGAGTGCCCGGCTGGCACGGCCCTGACAACAAAAACCGTTAGGTCAGATTTAGCGCCTGCGCGTTCAAAGCGCATCTGTTGGATCCAGGGACAAACAATCCAAGCTCTATAAATCAGCCCAAAGTGCGCCACGTCCGCTTTTTTGTCTTTTCCCCCCCGTTGATGTCTTTTCTCCGTTTGTCGCCCATTTCCTTCACCTTCTTTTTCACCCCTCTCACTATTCACACTGACTGTCTAATTTGCTTAATCCAGGGATGGCCAAACTTTTTACACTCAGGGCCACATAACAGAAAAATGGAAGGACGAGGGGGGTCCACTTCACCTTATGTTTATGAAACATGCGAAAATTAAATAAATACGCTGCAGGTCAACCTATACTACGAAGGAGTTACAACTTTAAAGAAAAAAAAAACAGTCAAAAATTAAATGAAAAATTAGCTGATAATTTATAATAGTGAAGTTTCTTAAGAAATGTATGTCTTAAAAAATGTAAAAGTTGTGTGTGTGTGTGTGATACCTTGCAACACATTTTTTTACATTTTTTTAATTAAAGAAAAGCACGTTTGAAAAAATAAACTTTGGTTTGATAGAAAAAATACAATTACAGTATTGTGATGCCTTGTATTTTTTTTTACCATTTTAGATTATTACATTTTCATTGATAAACTTTCATTAAACAATTTTTGAATGTTAATTTTATTTTAAATTGAGTGTAATATTGTGTCACATGAATTTATTTTATACAACACAGTACAATAGGTTT